CCTACCACAGTTCGCATTGTTCTCACTTTAGCTGTTTCTTTTCGGTGGGTAATTCGTCAACTTGATGTTAAGAATGCCTTTCTGCATGGTCACTTGACAGAGGAAGTATACATGCGTCAGCCCCGTGGTTTTATTCATCCTAATTTTCCTACTCATATGTGTCGTTTGCGTAAGGCTATTTATGGCCTTAAGCAAGCACCACGGGCATGGTTTCATCGTTTTAGTAGTTTTCTTCTTCAACATAATTTTGTGTGTAGTAAGTCTGATAATTCACTATTTATTTATCGCCAGAATAATAATATTATTTATTTATTACTATATGTAGATGATATTATTATTACTGGCAATTCTGAGTCTACTATTACCGAGTTTATATCTGTTATTTCTAATCATTTTGCTATGAAGGATCTGGGTAACTTACATTATTTCTTAGGCATTGAGGCATCTCGTTCTCCTAAGGGTCTCTTTCTCTCTCAAAATAAATATGTAACAGATCTTCTGGCTCGGTTTCATCTGCATACTGTTAAGCCTGTTCGCACCCCTTTAGCCTCTCGTACCACTCTGTCTCTCTCTGATGGTGAGTTACTTGTAGATTCTACTGAGTATCGTAGTATGGTAGGTGCGTTACAGTATTTAACTTTGACAAGGCCGGATATTACTTATGCAGTACATTTAGTGTCTCAGTTCATGCATGCCCCCCGTACTACTCATCTTTTTGCAGTCAAGAGAATTTTCAGGTATTTGCAGGGTACGCGTGATCATGGTTTGTGGCTTCAACATTCAGATCGGCCTACCTGTGTTTTAGCTTACTCAGATGCTGATTGGGCTGGCTGTCCGGATAGCTCACGCTCTACCACAGGTTTTGCTGTCTTTTTAGGTCCCAATTTAATTTCTTGGAAGTCTAAAAAGCAGCCTACGGTGTCCAAGTCCTCCACTGAAGCTGAGTACCGCGCTATTGCTTACACTGTCCAAGACACGCTACTTATCCGATCTGTTTTGTTTGAGCTTGGTTATCCTATCCACGAACCTGTTCATCTCTTATGTGATAATATTTCAGCCTCTTATTTGACTGCAAATCCAGTACAGCATGCTAGGAGCAAGCATATTCAGATTGATTATCATTTTGTTCGTGAACGAGTTGCTCATGGAGATTTGATTGTTCGACATGTTCCTACACATCTACAGTTGGCAGATATTTTTACTAAAAGTCTCCCTAGTCAGCGTTTTCATTTTTTAAAGGACAACCTGCGCGTTGTTTCTCCCGCACAGCTTGAGGGGGTGTAATAGAATTATAATAGAGATACTCTTGTACTTAACATAAAACTCTTATAGTATAAATATATCTGCCAGGACTCCTTAGAGAGTATCCTGTTTCATTATTTCACAATGCACACATAGTATTATGCAGTATTAAGTTTTTATAAGAATATAATGAAGAGAAAATTTTACTCCTTCCATTAACAATTTTTTTTAAATTACATTAACAAGAACATTTGTATATAACATGCTACATAAAATACCAATGCGAATTGATTGCTTGAGTTTAAAAAGCGACATGAAAGTATTTTTTTATTTAGTGATAAGCCGACAAAGAGATATAAGGCGTGAGGTGTTTATTTTGGTTTGTTGATTTTTCATTTGGGTTTTTAATTTCAAAAATATTACTAAAATAAATATTATTTACACAAATGACTAATAGCTAGTTACTACAATGTAGTGTCATATATAATAATTTAAGTACAAAATTAAACATAAGTTATTGTAATTCTATTACTACTCTAGTCACTAGTCATATTCTAGTTACTACAATATGTATTTTAGAAAATAATTATATATTTATAACTAATATCTAGTTACTACATTGTTTACAAAATGTGACTACTAACTTGACTAGTAATGAAAATATAGTAACTTATGTTCAGTTCTTAAATTTAAATTATCATGACACTACATTGTAGTAACTATTAGTCATATTTATGTACGTAAGTTTTATTTTAGTAGTATTTTGAACAAAAACCCTTATTTTAATCATAAATAGGTTATTATTTCTATTTATTTAGGTATTTGAGCAGTATATTTATTATAAAAAAAATTATTGCAGGTGTATATACGTATTTGTAATAATCCGGGCTTCCAATTGGGATCCATAACTCATGGCAAGCATTGAGCCATTGATGAGCATAAAGCAAATTTTGTTATGCTCTAACGATCGACATGCATGAAGCTTCACTAAATTTTATCGGCAAACCTATTACCAGCTAGCCTAAAGACATGTTTTGAGGTGTAGCCGGTGCTAATGCTCATTATAACGTAAGTCAGCCAGTGTGTTTGCCGCTGCTCCTATCATCTTATTTGGCCTTAGTGCTACTCTACAAAGAAGGTACATCCCTACATACCAATTACTTTTGTCGTCCTGGACTTCTGGTTATTATAAAATACTCCCTACATCCCAAAAAATTCTTCCAAGTCAAACGTGGTTCACAAATTTAGGAAGTGAAAATAAAGTGGAAATGTATGGTTGTAGTTGTGTAAGAAAAAGGTGAATTATTGTGAACCACACAATTTTTCCAAAAGTGGAAGTTGGAAGAATTATTGGGACGACCCAAAAAGAAAAGTTGGAAGAATTTAGTTGGACGGAAGAATACTTATTTATCGGTTGCAATTGTTCATTACTTTCCTATTGATCTAATTCCATTTTCCACAAACACACTTCATTCATCAAATACATTTGTAAACTACAATTAGGCGGAGTCCTCATCAATTTGGATTCTGGAGGATTTTAATGGAGTTTAGAATTCCGTCAGAATTTAGGTGTCCCCGATTTGGATTTCTGTGGAATTCATGAAAATAAGGGTGCCCTCAAACATTCCATGGATTTCTATTGTTACTTATTTGCATAGATTTTAATGGATTTCGATGGATTCTACATACAAAAACAATCCACCACAATCTTATAGACTTCCCCTCGATTTCAAAATTCATATCTTTTAAAACCCATCAAGTCATAATTGGGGACACCCACCTTAGTTGTCTGATATGTTTCTGTCAAATGCTGAAATATGACTAATCACCACATACTTCGTACTATGACCCTGGCAAAATTCTTACCTAAGTGATGTAGAAATTATTTGAACACTATCAAAATCACAGGCAGGATATAAGGCAGAAGGAAATGCATTTTGTGTGTATATTTAAGTCTACAAACGTCCATTACAATACTACTTTGAAATTTTGAATATCAAGTGATTCACTGTTAATTTAACGGGAACATGAACTCATAGGGAATTCATTAGAGATCGTATAAGTTTCAGAGTTCCAAATGCAAGTACATGGAGCGATATGATTTTTTTAAAATCAGAGTATATGCAATTATTAAGCCAAGTAACAAACCTCTTGCATCAAAAGACATAATCTGGAAACAACATCAACTTTAAATTAAAAAACGCCCTTTTCAGTCTTAGGAAGGGTTAGACAATATTAAGTACAAGAAACACATTAACAATTACACACATTAGGAACACTATTCCCCGTACAACTTGCATGTATACTGTGTTTCGGTATACCAAAATTTTGGTATGATAAAGGTAAGACATCGGTAAAATATTATGTTATACATGAAATTTAATATAACAAATTACTATATGCCAAATAAAATATACAAAACCAATGTTAGTAGTGATGATATACTCAAATATTTAATAAGATTAATTAAAAAGGTATCAATAATAAATTAGTTTATGTCATGTTCAACATTTTACCATTTCAAAGATTTAATACAACATTGAATAAGAGCTACGAATTATATTATAAATATGTCTCAACAATGAAATATGAAAAAAATAACATGTTCTCCTAAAGTAGTTGTGATCTACATAAAAATGAATACAAATAACTCAAGTAATATGGATGTAAATTCATTTAAACTTAAGTTGATACTGTGCTTCAATCATTTTTACAATTTTAGAATTTTGGTACAGTACAATATAAATAAATAAAAAATGTCGGTATTTGGATTTTAGTATTACTTTTCACCCCTCCCCTAATCATGATAGAAGTTTTTCGGTAAGAGATAGGCTATGTTTGGCAGACATAAGTTCCGGTCTTCTAGCTTTTGTACCTTTAAAAAGTCTCTAAAAACTTCTAGTTGTATGTTTGGCATGACAATTTTTAAGGACTTTTCAAAAATTAAAAGATCTTTTTTGATATGATACGGGGAGTAGCATCTAAGAAAAGCCCGTGACTTTTAGTACTAATTAGTCCTAACAGCTTGTGTACCAAACCGAACTAAATGAAACTGTCAGCTTTTTACCAAACAGCTACCATATTTTTCTTTTTAAGATCTTTTCAGTCACTTAAAGCCAACAGTTATTTAAAAGCTCACAAAAGTATCTTTTCAGCTAGTTGTACCAAACATAACCATAGTCACAAAAAAAGTATGTTTCTTAATACAAGTGGAAACTGAAAACTTGTGTTGAATTGATCTGCATTGTCTAATTTTATTGGTTGTTCAGCATTGTATGAATTAGGAGATATTGTTCCTAAACTAAATTTAATACGGAGTATTTCGAACACGATTATATAGGACTATTTTTGGTATAAAAACACTGAATAAATGACTAAACTATAAAAAACTACCCTAAAAATAAACTACATACAACTATACAAGGACATATTTTTAATTAAAACAAAGTAGATCCGGCCAAGATGGGAGGGAGTAGCAGCGGTTGCACACTTGCACATCACCAACACCGAAGAAGGATGCTTGAAGTTGAAAATAGAAGAGTCCAGTTGCTTGTTTTCCTTCCCATTTGAAGGATAGTTTACATACAAATAACTCTGCTAAAGATCTCTTTCTCTCCCTAGTCCCTATTCACAAAAAACTACACGTACTAATTTTCTCCACCTTCACAAAAGATTTTTCAAATGCCCCAAATATGCAATTGAGAAATGCACTTACTGTTGTAGTGAATTGTCATTCAATTCATATAACTTTAGGCACAAAACAATAAGATAGATTTGGCATAAGTCAAAAAGTGCATAACACTACTCATACAAAAACTATAATGGATACAGTGTAAAATAGCCACTAATAAACAATCTTTGCTTTGATAGATGCACGTGGGGAAACCGGGAAAGCAAAACTTCTTCCATAATCTCATGTTTCTGGTTGTCATCAATCGTATACCCAGGCCAATTGATGATAACTTTTTCAAGTGCGGGAAGACAGCCCAGCATCTCCTTTATGAAAAGTATTTCGAGCCTTAATCCTGTAAAAAATCTAAGTTTCAAAAAGAGTAGCTTTCCGCATGCTTGAACCACACAACGAAGTTTTTTCAAGAGCTCAGGTGTAGGATCTTGACACTTAATATCTGTCCACTTCAGAGAAGCAAGCAAGAAAGTAAAAATCAAAGGTTCAACTTTACACAGTAAGGAAGTACATAAAGCAAGTAACAAAAATATTACAAAGAGCTATTGTCCACGAAAATGAAGTAATAAATATTACCGAAAAAGTTATTTCAAGTTTGCATAACTGCGGGCATATGCACAGTAAGTGTACAAATGCAGAAGTCAAACCGTCATTATGGAAACGAAAACCTTCAAGCTTCAGCAATTCAACATTTGTTGCATCTGTTTCTTGTGGAAGTCCCTTTAGAAACACGTTTCCGAAAAAAAATGCATGGAAATCATATGTAATTAAAGTTGGATCGCTTCAAATGTATGGATTAATACGGACTTACGGAGTATATATAAACTAAATAGACCAAAGTTCAAAAGAAAAAATTTAATTAGGGATATACCTGGAGAGATTCGCAGTGCAAATCAAGCGTACGAATAGATATCAAGTTAGAGGCAAGTGGGAAAATGCTGCACAATTGGCTACTACAACAATCTTTAATTGTCAAATTACAAAGATTTCTAGCAGTAACTTTGAAGGGTGATATATCCCCACAATTGCTAAAGGACAGGTTCTTTAGCATCGGAACATCAATGACATAATATGGCAGATCAGCAGGACCAAAACGAATATCTTCAAAATATAGTGAGGTGAGATACGGTAGTGTGTGAGGAAAATCTATTGGTACAATATTGATACGACAAAGATGCAAGCTCTTGACTGTTGAACATGAAAATATACAATTTGGCAGCTTGTATGATTCACCCCAGAATTGAAGGTGGACTTCTTGAACACCTTTACGTACAACTAGATCTAAACATTGATCAAAATCAAAAGATCGAGACCTTATACTAACTTTCCCAACTTGAGATAAATCAATGGCAAATTTCTGAATTGTTCCCCTGTGCTGCAAGAGAACTTTGTTAATTATATAGAAAGCGCAGGATTTCTTTACATATTTGCTAGTCCGATTTTTTTTGTCAATGTAGCTAAAGAACCGACGATCAAAGCAGAGCTGCCTTAGAGTGAACCATAGATCTCTCCATATGGTAGACAAAACTGTGGTTCTAACAATATCTTGTATAGGCAAGAATCCCAAAATATGGTCCAATATATCTTCTGGGAGTTGACTGAATCTATCACTCCTCGCCATTATATGAAACTGGGGTAACCTTAGAATATGAAAAGTAAAGACTAATTGAGTTAAAAGTTAAAACAAATACATAATCCTCAAATTGGAGAACTTGACGAGAGCATACAAAGTAGATATAAGAACTTAGCCAATATAACAAAAAAAGAAACTTATTGAATGCAGGAAACTATAAAGATGCAACCAAATCATAAATGATGGCCGTAGTATAGGAGAAACCAACATTCATTTGGAAATTGGAAAGGCTGGTTTTTATGCTAACAACTAGTCTAGAGATCAGATGGCAATGCGGCGGATCGAGGACGGTTATGCATATAACCGTACCCGCCCCATTGGGTAATGTCCCCGCCCCGTAACCGCCCCATTACCCAACGGGTAATTTTTATCCAAACCATAATCGCCCCAATGGGTAACAGGTAAAATCACGGGTAACCGCGGGTTACCACTTTATTAGATATGTCATTGATATTTTAATATAAAAATAAATATTTTAAAAGACAAAAAAAAGATGTCGCCTAAATGATTCTAGACGTGAGATGTCACTTAAAAGTTTCGTGCATCTACAAGACATAAAAAGGCAACCTAAATTAATTTGAACATAAAATACTTAAATTGAAAAATAATTATTCAAGAAAAAAAGAAAAGAATCAAACGAAACTATTAAAATTTATTATGAACATTGTTCACATGTTATAGGCATTATTAGGGCATCCATAGATACACATTCAAAGGAGAAAAATGTCACATTTTATCAAGCATAGGACAAATACTATGAAAAAATGTAATCAAAATATAACTAAAAGCAAACGGGCGGGTACGGGGCGGGTAATGGGGCGGGCATGTATAAAACCGTAACCGCCCCATTACCCATAAAAATAAAACGGGCATTCCCCGCCCCATACCCGTTACCCGGTCAATGCGGTTTTCCCCGTTTTGACCGGAGCAATTCGGTGCGGGTATCCATCGGATCGGCCACAATTGTCATCCCTAAGACCACTTGGAGTGGTGAGGTATTAGGAGTCCAAAATGTTAAAGATGGAAATTTTGGACTCCTAATTTCATTTAGTGGGGTTAGAGGGGAGTAGAAGTGGATAAATGGATGGAGGGTTCTAAAAATTGAGGGAGGATTGAGAGGGAAAAAGAAAAGGAAAAAGAAAAGAAAAAGAAAAAGTAGGCCGCCTCGTGCATAGGTTATGCATTCCGCTGACGTCACGGTGATGCCATACTGATGTCACTATAATCCCAAAAACTTTTAATCTTTTATAACTTTTTAATTTGTTCTCCAATTTTTTCCAAAAATATATCAAAATTCATGACTTTTTATGATCTTTCATATGAAACCAATATGTAATATATAAAATGGATTTTTGTTTTGAAATTTTAACTGTTGAAGGTTTCTTGAGCCTAAAAAATCATATAACACATATTTTTAATTCATGCAACCTTCACAAATAAGTGAATATTTCATAATCTAACTTAACATGAAATAAGTTCATTTTTGTTAACCGAGAAACGTAAAAAAATAAATAATGAAATTTATTTATTTTTATATCGAAATATGTCTTTTTTATTTTATAATTAATCGGAGAAAAAATTAAAGGGAAAATATTACTTATAATAATTTAATTAATGTTTTACTAAATTGATATGTAAAAAAAATGCGCAGAGTGTATTTTATTGAAGGTGCTGGAATGCAGAGAAATAAGAGTCAAAACACTGTTTTCGTATGAACGGAATCCATTTTTAACATTTAGACTCTCACACCACTCCAAATGGTCTAACAACTACGAGTACAGTAAAATCACATAGGAAAACGGCGAAGACGATTGAGCTTTGAAGGAGAGATTTCAAATCTCGCTGAGCGAGTACCTGGGATTGGAATGGTGCGGTGAGCCGGTTAATAGATTAGTTAAATAAGGATATTTGTGTATTTTTATATTCAAACCTTTTACTATAAATATATCTGCCAGGACTCCTTATGGGGTATCCTGTTCCATTATTTCACATGGTATCAAGAGCACAGAATAAACCCTAAATTTTTTTTCGGTTCCCCTCTTCTGCCGCGATGTCTTCCGCGATGCATTCTACTTCTTCTTCAACGGTGATATCTTCCACCATGGCTATCGGTTCATCTTCATCAACCACGCCAATCCCTGATGATATTCCTCCCTCCTCACCAATCACCACTGGCGCCCTTCACCGAGGCACGCAGCCGGCTATTGGATCCAGCACGTCCGGAGTCGTCTTTTCTTCCAACTTCGTCTCACCACAGCGTACGGCTGGTGCTTATTCTCTTTTCCAGAACATTCCGCCGGTATTCTCTTGGCCGGCACCAACACCAGTGCCACACGTGACCCTGGATCCCCCTCCGCTCTCAGCGCCCATGTTTTCGGGAACAACGTTCGTTGGCTCCCCTGGGGTTTCTTCCACGGTTCCACCAACTCGCCCAGTAATATCCGCATCACTGGCTGCCTCCTCTCTGTCTGACTTGGTGCAAAATATATCCCATGTGGCTACCAATGTCACAAACATTGTTACTACCAAACTTTTGGCGGTGGAAGATTACACAACTTGGCGGACACAATTTGAATCCTTTTTGGTCTCGCAAGCTCTTTTAGGAATGATTGATGGCACTATTCAGGTACCTCCTGCTTATTCCATAGATGTTATAAACCGACAAATTCCCAATCCCGAATTTTCTTTATGGCTGCGTCTTGATCAAACCATCCGATCTTGGCTTTTTGCTACTCTTTCTCGGGATGTACTTATAGATGTTCGGGACTTAAAACACTCTTTTGAAATTTGGGAACGGTTAGAATCTCGTTTTATGTCTGCTAGTCTAGCTCGCTCTATGGAATTAAAGCGTCTGTTATCTCAACTCAAAAAGAAACCTGATCAGTCCATGGATAATTATTTGCGAGAGATTAAAATTTTGGTTGATGATCTTGCTACTATCAACTGCCCCGTTCCTCCCCGAGAAGTTTTGAAAACCACCATTATGGGGCTTGGACCTGAGTATGAGTCATTGTTCACTACAGTGTCTCTATTCCCTCAACACTTTCCTTTTGAGACACTTCGCAATCATCTTCTTGAATTAGAGCAACGGGTTCTTTATCTACGGTCACAAGAACAAACCTCCGTACATCAAGCTTTCGGAGCGCACAGTCCTCCGCCCGGAGTTCAGACAGGTCAGCCGCATGGCAATCAGCAGCAAGGTGGACAGCAACAGGGCACTCAACAGGTCCAGCAACGTCCTCCTGGCTATCATCAACATGGTCGAGGTGGCCGCGGACGTGGTGGTAGAGGCCGTGGAGGACGCGGTCGTGGGGGTCGTGAACAGCAGCCCGTCCCCTATGGTTCCCCGGCAGGCTGGTATCCGACACAGGCTCCGCCCCAGTTCTATGCTTCCGCCGGTTCTTATCCAGCCGCAGGGGGTACTTCGGCCGCAGGGGGTGCATCTCACACTGGTACTGTATTTTGTAATTCTTCCGTGTCACATTTAAATATTAATGCCTTATCTGTTTGTGATACTAACCGTGGGTCTGCAGACTTATCACCAGCTAGGGGAATTCTTGGTTCAGTCCCTCCTCCTGTCGTCTGTCAAATTTGTTTCTCTGCAGGTCACTCTGCGATTACTTGTCCGTCTCGTTTCCAGCAACCATCTGCGCCAGCTCTGTTGACTACTCCCGGTGAATCTAATTCTGCACTATGGTATCCGGATTCCGGAGCTTCTGCTCACATGACTGCCTCAGAAGGTATTTTGCTTAATAAATCTCCCTACACCGACTTTAATTCTGTTAGTGTTGCTAATGGTGCCCATTTGCCTATTTGTAATATTGGTGATGTTGCATTACCCTCATCTGGTCGACCCCTCACATTAAAATCTGTTTATCATGTGCCTCAGTTAAAATTTAATTTAATTTCGATTCAAAGACTCTGTGCTGATAACAACTGTACTGTGATTTTTGATAAAAATTCTTTTTTGATTAAGGACAAAGCCTCGGGGGCAGTACTTCTGCGAGCTACCAGTAGCGGTCCTCTCTATCCTATCAGTTTGCCATCATCACCATCTTTTGCCTTAGCCTCCGTACTTGTTTCTGGCCCTGTGTGGCACCGTAGATTAGGCCATTGTAGTGATCATGTTTTGCAGTTTCTTAAACGTCAACAATTTTTATGTAATCACACTCCTTTTACCCATGATTGTGTTGCTTGTCGGTTAGGAAAATCACAACGTTTGCCCTTTAAGGATGCTAGTCATATTTGTTCTCTTCCGTTGCAAATTATTCATTCTGATGTGTGGCAATCTCCTATTTCTTCGAATCTGGGATTCAAGTATTATGTATGTTTTATTGATGATTATTCTCGATTTACTTGGATTTATCCAATGTGTCACAAAAGTGAAGTGTTCACTCATTTTAAGAATTTTAAAGTTCTGGTGGAAAATCTGTTTAATCAGAAAATTAAAATTTTTCAAAGTGATGGAGGTGGTGAATTTGTTAATAATAATATGCAGCAATTTTTTACCACAAATGGCATTTATTTTCAAAAATCTTGTCCTGACACACCTCAACAAAATGGGGTGGCTGAACGCAAACATCGGCATCTTCTAGAATTAACTCGCACTATGCTTTTTGAGGCTTCTGTACCGAGTCAATTCTGGGTTGATGCCCTTTTTACAGCTGCATATATTATTAATAGGTTACCTTCGCCTATTTTACAAGGTGTCTCTCCGTATCAGAAACTCTTTCATCGGATTCCGGATTATTCTTTCATGCGCGTTTTCGGTACGGCATGTTATCCCAATTTTTCAGCCACCTCAGCTAATAAACTCTCATCCCGGTCCGTTCAATGTATTTTTCTTGGTTATGCATCTGGCTACAAGGGCTATCGTTGTTTTGATCCTATCACAGGTCGTGTTTATATTAGTCGTCACGTACGTTTCCATGAGGATTTATATCCCTTCAAAACTCTTGCTCACTCTGGAACTTCTATTCCTTCTACCTCCAAACCGTCTCCAGCAACCTACACTTCCCTACCCCTTAGTCGTGTCAGCCACGCCTTACCCATACCCAGTCAACCAACGCCTGTCAGCTCCCCAGTCCACACCACTGTCAGAGACCTTCCCCTATCCCCTGTAGGTCGTACCCTACCTCTCTCCAACCAGCTGTCCTCCTCTGCCATCACGTCAGGAACCTCCTCCCCATCTGCTAGGAGCTTGTCTCCACATCCT